GTTACTTCTTGTCACTGTGTTGCTCTGAATCGCTGACTATCATCAACCTTCTGCTGCTTTCTGTTTCATAAGAGGAAGAACCACGACAGATCATGTGACACTTTTCTTTATAAAAACCCAACCAGGAAAACACCTTCAGAGGCATCTTTTCTTCTGAAACACAGCGATGGCTTCTTCCTCTCTCACAGGTGAGACGATCAGTGCTTTAACAACTTTTATAAAATAACCTGACTGTTTTATTCATAACAGAAAAGAGAAAAGAAAGGAATCCGTGTTGATGCGTCTGCTTTTACTTTCGTTTTTCTCAAAATGCAGTTTGTGTTCATTTATCCAGACATCGACAAATCTTAATCTTAATATAAAGTATATGTAAAGTTAGAAATATGAGCTGAGTTGTTATTATAGTGGTTAATAATGGTTTTAAGACGATAAAATAGGGAGTCTTCTTGAACGAGGACGTTTTTTTTTTTTCAAGAAGGGACAAGTAATCGCAGAATCAGAATGTCATTTTAACCCTTTTATGCCAGAGTTTGTTGGAGCCATCGTGATCAAACTTTGAAAATAACACTATTAATATAATTGCGAGACGTCATCTCAGAATATATGTTGAGAATAACTCTCAGCTACTACCACATCACATTTGAGCTCAGTGTCTATTAAACTGACTGACTTATAGCCATTTCTGTGCTGGCTAATATAAATTAGCTGTGGCCCCCATCCTAAATTAGATTAACTTCAAAAGTTAATCATTTGTAGATGTGCATCCAGTAATAAGTCCCTGAAAATCTCATTAAAATTCATCAAGTTGTTCTTGAGATATTTTGCTAACAGACAGACAGGGTTGACTTGCACAGTTAAGTTTAATGTTAAGCAAGGACACTGCTTATAGAGTCGTAATTGGATTATTTGTTAAGAATGATGCTCACCTACTTCCTTGTCAAATTTTAGCTCAATATCTATAAAACTGAATGTATTATTACCATTTATGTGTTGGCTAAATTTAGCCAGCTGTGTCAGGCATCTTGGTTTTGGGTAGCTCCAAAAGTTAATCAGTTGTAGACTTGCATCAAATTATTATTTGTATAAAGTTTTATAAAAATCCATCTAGTGGTTCATGAAATATTTTGCTAACAGACAGACAACGTTGACATCAAATTGTGAATGGCTACATTTAAAAAAAAGATCACAATATGTGTTGCGTATCACAAAACTTTAGGTCAATATTTGCAAAACTGATCAAGTTATAACCATTTTTGTGTTTGTTTAATGTTTGTTTACTGGCACTGACTATTTAAAATGGAGTTTCACCTGAAAAGCCTACTAAACATTCGTTCAGGAACATTTAAAGCTCCATTCTTATTTTAAAATGTCTTTTTTTTACACATGTAGCAAAGTTGTATTTTTATTGATTCAACTTCTAAAAAACTCTCCAATATGTTTATTGAAAGAGTTTATCTTCCTCCAGAACACAACGACCTAAAAACTTCACCAGAGCTCTTATATTTATGTTTGTTATCACTTCTGTATTTCCTGGTATGAGTTCCACTTCTGGTCATGAGATCAAGCCTGTTGCATCATTTGTGGATTTTAATGAAAAGTCTGCCGCAGCTAAAATTTGTAGAAGTGATACTTACTGACACGGCAGCCCCTCACCGCCCACCTGCGTACGTCACAGGAAGCTGTGTTTGGTCAATATGAACGAACACAAGGGTGACATGCAATCATCAAAAAAACTGAAGAGTCAAAGCCTTAAAAACAACACCTAACATGTCAACTAGTTTTTATTCATCATCATCAAATGACTTTGTCTGGTTTAAAAGGCTTTAAACTCACATTTTCAGGCTGTCAGAAGAAAATGTTCAGTTCATGTTCCTTTAAGCGACAGTTTTAAATTACTTCTGTTTCTGAAACAAACAAAAGGTAACAAACAGGGACCGACACAACCAAAAAAAAAAAAAAGTGGCACAAATGATACAAACAAGAAGAGGAATGTATGAATCTACACCTTAGTAAAATAATTAAAGGAGACCAATCATGGGTCCTAGAAATTTTTAAGGTATGTCTGTGGGCTAT